AAAAAAAAAGTGAATGGGAAGCATCCCCACAGCAGAGGCGTATGTAGACACATATCACAATGAAGCCGCGGGGCCCGCACACCCGCACCCGCAGAAAGACAGTTCTTTTCCCCCGTTCCCCCACCCCCTCCTGCACGTAGATGAAGCACCCATACATACACACATACACATACACGCTCCCATTGTTAGTATTATTCTTCATTCATTCATCGTTACCTGTGTGTCGAGAAGTCCCTTCCCCCCCCTCCTACTACGGCCGCTACCACCCCTCTCTCCCTTTCAACTGCGAAGAACTTCGGACCTCCATTGTTTCCGATGCATCGAACCAATACACACCCCGCGTTTTTCCACCTTGGATGCCTTGGGCTTCTCACGCATCCTTGACTTTCACCGGAGACACACCCACACCCACACAGAGAGAGAGAGATAGAAAGAAAGAAATTCCCTTTTCTCGCAGACGTATCAAAGCACTTTTGTTCCTGTTTTATTTCCTCCATCACCATTGCCGCATCGTTGTTTGCTGTTGTTTGGGGCGTTTTTTTTCTTTTGCGTTTCCATGCCCCATCCGAATCAATTTGCGTTAGAAATAAGAAAAAATGCGCAGTGAGCCCGTGCAAGAAAAAAAAAATGATAAGTAAAACAAGCAAGAATCGTCTCCGCACCACACCCACACGCAGAGGGAGAGAGAGAGACCCTGACACACAGCCTGAGCAGCACACGAAGGNTCCGAATCAATTTGCGTTAGAAATAAGAAAAAATGCGCAGTGAGCCCGTGCAAGAAAAAAAAAATGATAAGTAAAACAAGCAGGAATACAAACACACGCACACACGGACGGCCACATGCAGCTAGAAACAACAAAGATAGCAACTCAACCAAACGTATACATATATATATATATATATACGTACGAGCGGAAGTCACCAAAGCACTCCATGCCTCCTCCGCACATCCCTACCAAATGAAGCCCCCTACCCGGGGGCCTGTTTTTCTAAAGCTTTTTTTTTCCAGCAGCTGTGTGTACACCACAGCCGCAGCACAGCAGCCACACAGCAATGTCTCGCTTCCTTTTTATTGTTCACCCGTCGCCGTGGCCTCACTACATGTCTATTCGTGGCTCTATAGGCACACACACACACAAACACACACACGCGCATATATATAAGCCCGGGTGGGCTTGTGTGGACCAACAGGTATAAATGGTGGGCGCTTAGCTTTACATCTGAATTGTGTCGGAAACACCGTGCCGCATGAGGAGTTTAACCAGCTGCAGCTTATCCACCGGCGATGCTGCGGGGACATGCGGCGACGCGTGCCGACCCGCCACGCCGTTCTTCTCCGTCGTGCTGTCGCCACTTACCGCAGCGGTTCGGTACCGTGAGGCTTGCCCCGAGAAGTAGGTGGCCGCCGATAGCAGTTGCTCGCCGAAACGCACAGCGGTGCGGCCGCTCTCTGCCTCCGAAGATGTTTCTCTCGGCAGAAACGACGCAATCCAAAACAGGAGACGCCTTGGGATGTCGTACAGGAAGGAATTGCGGGGTGGGGCGTGCACCACATAACACCGCCACACCCAACCGTCGGTCGTCTGCCTCGACACATGCATGTGCCTGCCTTTGCTCAATCGTGCGGAGTCGTCGCTGGTGGAAGTGGTTGATGCCATGGCGCTGTTCATCTTGTCGATCCTCGGCGTCGGCACCCTTCCTGACGCTGATGGCGCGCGGTAATTCGACATCGCCTCCATCTCCTGGAGCCTCCTCCGCTCCTGGTGCAACATGGCCTGTGTTCGCGCATGCTCCTCGCGCTCCCGAGACAGATATTTCTTGTACATGAGCAGCTCCTCGGTGAGCCACCGGGCATCCTCTCCGTGTGCGGGCGTGTCGGTCTGCTGCGTGTTCTGCTCACTCTCCAGGGCGTTCCCGCCACCACCCGCTGAAGGGCGCAAACAGGGTGTGCTCATGCAGCTTGGGATAGGCGATCGGCCGCCATCATCCCTGTCCATCAGCAGCTGCAGTTGCTGATCCTTCTTATAAATTGCCATTTCCAACAACCCAATCCGGGTGTTGGCGTCGCGCAGCCGAGCTGCGAGTTCCATCCTTGACACTACATGATTGATAACCGGCCGATTACGTATCAGCTTACCGCGTTGTGCGAAGCGCAGCGTCGACAAGCTCTCCGCTGCGTTGCGCTTGTCAGGTGAGATGGTGCACAGCAGCGTGGTGACGGCGTTTCCGCCGATGCTCTCCTTCAGCAGCCGCGTCAGTTTTGAGTCACGATATGGAATATGCGGAGTCCTCCCCCCCTCCTTCCTTCTCTCCGTCAGCCTATGAATGACATTCCCAAGCAGCGTGAGCGAGAGATTGATGGATTGTGCCTCCCTCAGCTTTAGCCCCTCTGCGCCTGTTGCAGCCACCCGCTCAGAGCCTGCGAGATCGACGAGCGTCAGCAGCGAGCGCTTCCACCCCTTACGCGGCAGCTCGCCCCCCTGCGGCACCTCCAGTCCCTCCGCTCCCCCCACACCGTTCCACCACTGCACAGCGACAAAGAAGAGGAAGTGGGAGCGGCTACTCTTGTCGTTGAGCGTCGTCGAGGCGACGCGGCGCTGTTGAACGACATGCAACACAATACACATCGCTTCCTCGTAGGAGTGCACTGAGCACCACGAAAGGCCCTCGACGAAGACGCCCCCAACGGGATCCTCGCGTATTTTCAAACCCTGCACCTTTTCGACTGACGCTGCTGCTTCGGCCGCTGAAAGCGATGATACACCACGGCGGTGGAAGCGGCGGCTCCGCGCATTCGAATGTGCTGGCGCCACACTGGGGCTCTTCTCAACGCGCTTCTGCGAGACAGACGACTCGAAGGAGGATTCCCTCTCCCAACTGCTCCTCACAGGTGTCAGGTGCGTGCCCGACGCGCCTGGGGTTTCGAGTGAGAAGGTCGAGTGGTGTGCAGGCTGCGATGACGGGCACCCCGACAGCAGGTCAAGCAGCTCCTCGTTGTAGAGTTCCAACGAGCTCAGTTCCACCTGCCAGTTCACACCTTGCTGTTGCTGCCGATGCTTAAGCTGTGCTTCGCCAGGTGTCCCCTGCACATTGTCCCCCACCTCGGTGTCGGTTAACTTCGTCTGAAGGTCAACAAAGAGCTGCTCTAACATGCGCGGCAGCAGACCCACCTCGTTGCGGTTACGCAGTTGTTTGGGGGCGCCACCGCCCGGCCCGAGCAGCGTGTGCGTCTTGCCGCTCCCACTCTGCCCGTAGCAGAGAATGGTGGCGTTGTAGCCCTTCAGCACGCACCCCAGCATGGGTTTTCCAACGCGCGCCATTGTGTCAGACTGAGTGGTCTTCTCTCCAAGAACAGTGTCGAAGGTGAAGGTGGACCTTTGCCCTATTTGCTCGAGACGCTGCGATCGAGGCGTCCGCCACCCGCTGGCCTCCTCTATGCTCAAGAAGGAATGCTTGGAGGTCAGGGAGGCTTGCGCTCTATTCTGCATACCATTGGGAAATAAAACGTGCTCCACGACATTTTTCTCCGCAAGTACTTTGCAGCAGGTCATCGCACCGCGCTTCGAAGCGAGAGGACGCACACGCACAAGCACCCGCACCTCCCCTGGAGCCGTCGAGGCGTCGTCGACGGGATCTTTGGACGCCTCCCCCGCCTCTACTTCCTCTTCGGTTGCTTGGAGTGCCCCAAGAAGAAGTGGGGGGAATTCACATATCGAGGGGTCTGCTCCAGCACCCCCTGGTGCGGCAGCCACGCCTCGTGAACTCGACGTCGAGCGAGCCGTTTGAAGACCATCAGAGTTCATTGTTGTTATGGCTTTTGCCGTGTTAGATGATACACGAGTATTAAAAGCAACACCCGCGGCCGTCTGCGAGGCACCGAGCTGTTGTCGCACTTCTGGCGGCATCGCCTTCAACGCGATGCTCCGTATTCCCGTTGTGTGCGAAAGGGCCGCGCTGAAGCTTCTGGCGCTTGACCACAATGACATCGACCCCCCTCGCGGGCATTTCCCCTGCTGCTGCTGCTGCTGTTGATGTTGTTGGTATTGTGGGTGTGGTGACGGCGGGGATTCGGCTGTCGTCTTGTCGTTCTCCCCTCGCCCGTCACAGTTGAGTGTTTCTGTCATTAAGTTAGCGTCCACACTTAACTGGGGTGTGTGTGTATATGATGAGATCATCTCTGCAGCAAAGCAGTGAGCAACGAGCAACAACCGCAAACAAAAAAAAAGAAGCAGAACAATCATGAAGAAACGGAAGGTGGTATGACGGCGAACCGATGAGGCAACAGCCGGCCCCAAACACAAGGCACAGAGAGAGAGAGAGAGAGAGAGAAAAAAAAAAAATAGATTGCGGCCAGTGTGTGGCTCCGCCTACAAGGGCGGTATGCTCGCTGCTTCCTCGTTCGCTGGGAAACGCAAACAGCACGCAGAATAACACGCAGTGAGAGATCACCGCCTCCTCCTCCTTCTTCTGTCCTTTCTTTCCACGACCAGGCGGTGCTGTGTACAAAAACGATGGCGTGCAGCAGTTCATGCGTACCTGCAGCATGCCTTCATTCTCCCCTCTCCATTGCTGCCAATTTCAGCCTGCATGAAAACAACAAACGTGCCCTCTTAACCGTTTTAGAGATAATTCCTTCCTTCACCCTCGTTTTTCTTTTTTTTGCGAGGCGCCCCCGTGAGCCTCCTTCCCGCAAGCACCTCCCCCTCCTCCCCACACACATACGTCGGCATATATATATTTATATATATATACCTGCGGCAGCCCAGACGATCGTGCACATCAATTTATGTGTAAATATAAATATAAAGCTGCCCCTTCGCTCACGCCTTGCTCTTCGTTTTAATCGCTTCACGCATCCCCCCTCCCCTCTTCGCAGAAGCGCATGCGGCTCTACAACGAAAACAAAAGCCAAGGCTCCACCAGCGAGTGCCGCGCAGTCCTCAAAACCCACTCGGCCTGGTTTAGCAGCCGGATGTCACGACGGTTGGGTTGCCGCCCTTGCGCCGCACACGCACCTGCGTTGGGTCGAAGCCCTTCTCCTCCGAGGAGAAGACCGCCCACGACGGCGTTGGGGCCGCGTACTCGGCCGCCGTGAAATCGCGACGTCCGCTGCGCGCCAACGCAGTGAACTTGTCGTAGTCGATCCACGTGTGCCACACGCCATTCACGCGGAAGCGGCGCAGGGCGATGAGGACGCAGCAGCTGTGCTCGTGCTCGCAGGCAATGTTGTACGGCCGACTGGATCCAGCCCGTGCTGCTGCTGCTGCTGCCGCGTCACCCTCTGCTCCGGCCGTCGTTGCCTCTGTTTCGGTTGCGACAGCATCGTCCCCTGCTTCTGCTTCTTCTGTTGCTGCTGTTGAGACCTCTGCTTCAGTGCTCAGCCACGTGTCCTTGTCCTTCGGCACGGCGCATGACGCGAGCGCCTCGCAGAGTGCCTCACAGAAGCGCACCACCTCCACATGGCGTGGCACGTTCTCCTTCATCGTGAGCGTCGAGGTGGTGCTCGTGCCACAGTACGTGACGCCCTTCACCTCAATGAAGTCCGGCCAGCCGAGGCGCACGAGGTCGGCGTAGGCGGCCACATTCTCCGTGTTGTACTGATTCACCAGCGTCAGGCGAAACACGGTGCGCTGCGGCTTGCGCCGCAGTTCGCGCACACACGCCAGGCACCGCTCCCAATAGTCCTCGAACAGCGGGCGGTCGACACGCTTCAGCTCCTCCGGCGTTGGCGCGTCGATGGAGAGGTACAGCTGCGTCACCGGCTTCAGATCGCGCAGCTGCTCCGGGAACTGTGCGTTCGTCACCATGAAGGAGGAGATGTCCTGCTCGTGCAGCAGGTCGACAAAGGTGTTGATCTCCGGGTACATGATCGGCTCCCCGACGAGCGACAGCGCGCAGTGGCGCACCCGCATCGCCTCCTCCAACCGCACCGGTGTCACCCCGGGCACGCCGCGCATCTGCTTCACCATCTGCTGGTGGCCCGCGATGCCCTCGGCGACGAGCTGCTGCGGCGGATCCACCCGCCAGCGGA